GGGGGGGATGGGGCTGAGGATGGGGGGCTCTGAGTGCCAAATGAGGAAGACTTACAGCAAGAACCAGAACAAGGTGGGACCCCAAAACCCCGATTTTGGGGGTCACCCTATTGAGGGGTGGGATGACCGAGGAGCAACTTGTACCTGTGCCCCAATTTTTGGGTGCCCCTGCCCCAGGGGTTGGGGTGCCCCTACTCCAGAACCTGAGGTGCTCCTGCCCCTATTTTTGGGGATATCTTGGCTTGTCCTGCTCCAAATGTCTCCTTTTCTAGAGATCAAACACCCCCTGCCCTGAATTTTGGGCTGCTGCCACCCAGATTTTTAGAGCTGCTTTTCTCCTGTTCCACATTTGGGAGTCCTACCTCAAATGTTGGGGTTGCTCTGCCCTGGCTTTTGGGAGGATCCTGTTCTGGATTTTAGGGGGTCCCACCCCCTTACCTAGGTGTTCCCTCCCCAATTTTATTGTCCCCCCAGATGCACAAGCGAGAGCGAACCTGCAAGGATTACATCAAGGTGAGGGGGCGTGGCCACGAGCAGTGGGAGGGGTTTGTGGGTGTGATCAGGGTGTGGTGGGCAGGGCTTGTGTGGGTGCGGTCAGGGTGTGATGGGTGGGGCTTGTGTCCCCGGGCATGTCCCAGCCCCGGCCCACCCCGCCCGTCCCGCAGGCCGTGGTGGAGGCCGTGGATAACCTGCTGCGCCCAGAGGCGCTGGAGTCGTGGCGGGACATGAACGGCTCGGAGCAGGCGCACACGGCCACCATGCTGCTGGACGTGCTCGAGGAGGGCGCCTTCCTGCTCGCCGACAACGTCAAGGAGCCCGCGCGCTTCCTGGCTGCCCGACAGAACCTGGGTCAGCTCCGCAGGGACCCCAAGGACCCCCTCCCAAACCCCCGAGTCCTTCCTGAGTCCCCACAGGGCCCTGCCTACCCACCCTTGCAGTCCCCATGGTCCCACCCACATCCCTGGGACATCGAGGGTCTCCCCCAACCCCTCCCCGGGGTCTCCAGGGGCCTCTCCCACCCCCTGTTCCCTCCCCTGGATCATCTCCCACCTCCCAACCTGCCCTGGGGACCCCCACCCAAATTCTCTGAGCATTGAAGGTCTCCTGTTGGTGACAGGAGCATTCCTGCACGCGCATTCCTGTGTGCTGTGTGTGACACACGTGTTTTCCTGTGTTATTCCCAAGTTTTTCCATATCTTCCCACACTTTTCCGTGTTTCCTGGCAGTGCTGGAGGAGTCGGTGCTGTGTCACACACATTTCACGTGTTTTCCCATGTTTTTTCCCGTGTTTTCCATCAGTGCTGGAGGTGTCAGTGCTGAACACTGAGGGGCCACTCCAGGAGCTCGTGTTCCCGCAGGAGCTGGGGGGTGACGGCTCCATCCAGCTCTCGGCCAGCACCCTCAAACAGAACAGCAGGAACGGTGAGTGGGGGCACATTTGAGGGTCTGAGGGCTTGGGGCACCCAGAGCGCCCCCAAACAGAACAGCAGGAATAGGGGGACACATTGGTAGGGTTCTGGGGTGTTTTGGGAGGTCCTGGGGGAACAGGGGCACCCTCAGAGCAGCAGGAATGGTGAGGGGGGCTCTCTGATCCACCGTCTCCCCAGGGGTGGTGAAGGGGGAGGGTCCGGGTGTCTTTAGGGTGTTTTTGGGGTGTCTCTGACCTGCTGTCTCTCTGACATGTTGTCTCCACAGGGGTGGTGAAGGTTGTCTTCATCCTGTACAACAACCTGGGGCTGTTCCTGCCCACGGAGAACGCAACCGTGCGGCTGGGGGGAGATGGGGGTCCCCGCGCCCCCCAGCTCGTGGTCAACTCCCAGGTCATCGCCGCCTCCATCAACAAGGAGTCCAGCAGGGTCTTCCTGCGTGACCCCGTGGTCTTCACCCTGCCCCACCTGGAGGTGCGACCCCCAAAAACCCACCCAGACCCCCAAAACACCCTGGGACCCTCAAAACTGCACCCAGAGACCCCAAATCCCCAGCTCTGGGACATCCAAAACTTCACCAGGAACAACCTTGAGGTCTTCATCTTGGTGGGACCCCCGAAAATGCCCCCAGACCCTCAAAACCACACCCAGGACCTGGGAACCCCCCCGGGACACCCCCAAACACCACCCAGAGCCCCCCAAGCCCCACTCAGAATCTGGGAACTACTCAGGAACCCCAAAATCCCACCCAGACCTCCAAAACCATACCCAGAGGCCCCCAAACCTCCCAGGAGCGCTCATTTCTCACCCAGACCCCCAGACCAAGAACTACTTTGAGAGCAGCTTCTGGAATAACTGGGATTGGGGCCCTCTCCCTGTTTTGGGACCTTCTGGGACCCCCTTGGACCCCCATTTCTCCCCTGATGCCCCATTTCCCCCTCCCCAGACCAAGAACCATTTTGGGGCCAACTGCTCCTTCTGGAATTACTCGGAGCGCTCCATGGCTGGGCACTGGTCGAGCCAGGGCTGCCGCCTTCTGCGCTCCAACGGCACCCACAGCTCATGCGCCTGCAGCCACCTGACCAACTTCGCCCTGCTGATGGCCCGGACTCAGAGCGTGAGTGACACACCTGGGCACACCTGAGATAGCTGGAAAACATCTGGGATCACTTGGGTGGGGATCCTGGTGGCCACTGTCCCTGCCACTGTATCATGACTGTATCCAGATGACCCCTAACCCAAATCCCCCACAAAATACCCATTTTATCGCAATTTCCTGCAGTTCCCGGGGCGGCTGAATGAGGTGCTGCTGTCAGTGATCACCTGGGCGGGGATCCTGGTGGCCCTGCTGTGCCTGGGCCTGTCCATCTCTGCCTTCTGCTGCCTGCGGGGGCTGCCCTCGGAGCGCACCACCATCCACAAGAACCTCTGCATCAGCCTCTTCCTCGCCGAGCTGCTCTTCCTCGTGGGCATCGACAAAACGCAGTACCAGGTGAGGCTGCCACACCTGGGACCCCTGAGGGACAGCCTGTGAATGAAGGGACTCCTGAAGGACAGCCCATAGCACACCTGGGACACCCCACAGCACCCCTGAGAACCCTCATGGTAAACCTGGGGACCCCTGAAGGACAGTCCACAGCACACCTGAGACCCCTGGAATCCCCAAGGGACCGCCCATGACACAGCTGGGACATCCCAGGACACCCTGTGGCACATCTGGGAGCCCCAGGGGACCACCCACAGCACCCCTCTTGCTGTCCCTGTCCGTATCTCCACAAGGCACCCATTGTCCCTGCAGATGACCTGTCCCATCCCTGGGCAGTCCTTGTCCCCACACTGTCCCCACCCGCAGGTGGCCTGTCCCATCTTTGCGGGGCTGCTGCACTATTTCTTCCTGGCGTCATTCTCGTGGTTGTGCCTGGAGGGGGTTCACCTGTACCTGCTGCTGCTCGAGGTGTTCGACAGCGACCCCGGCCGCCGCAAGTACTACTACGCAGGGGGGTACTTCTTCCCCGCAGTCGTCGTCGCCGTCGCTGCCGCTGTCGACCACCGCAGCTACGGCACCGACCAGGCGTGAGCGGGCACGGCCGGGACTGGGCTGGGGCAAGGCTGGGTGGAGTCGGGACAGGGCCGGGGTGTGGCTGGGGTGTGGCCGGGGCTGAGGCTTCCCCCATTGGGAGTGACCAGGTGTGAATGGAAGAACAGGGGTGTGGCTTGGGGTGTGGCTTCCCCATTGGGAGTGGCACTGGGCGATGGGCAGGGTCTGCGGGGGCGTGCTCTCACCTGGTCGGGAAGCGCGTCCTCCATAATGTTCTGATGATGCGCTGTCCCCGGCAGGTGCTGGCTGAGGGTGGACAATTATTTCATCTGGAGCTTCATCGGCCCCGTGGCCTTCGTCATCCTCGTACGGGGGAGCTGGGGGGACACTGTGCAGGCTTCGGGGGGCAGAGGGACCATGGGTGGATCTTTGTCATCCTCATACAGGGGATGGGGGGCTTGGGAGGCTTTGGGAGGTCTGGGAGGTTTTGGGAATGGACATTCCTCATCCTCATCTGGGGGCCTGAGAGGGCTCGGAGGGCCTTGGGGGGCTGCGGGCCTTTGGGGATCTGGGGATGGACCTTCATCATCCTCATCTGGGAGCTGGGGGAACCCCAGGGGTGTGGGGATCATGCCATGGGGATCTGCGGGATCCCCCCGTGGGTCTGGGGTCCCGCAGCGGCTCTGGGCTCTGGCTGTGTCTCAGGGCGGGTCCCGCAGGTGACGCTGGTGTTCCTGCTGGTGACGCTGCACAAGATGCTGCGCAGCTCGGCCGCCCTCAAACCTGACTCCAGCCGCCTGGACAGCATCAGGTGGGGGGACCCCAAAGGGGGGAACCCCAAACAGGGCCCCTGGACTTGGGGAGGACCTGCAAGGAGGGGAGGCACGCACAAATGGGGGGGACCCCAAATGAGACCCCAAACAGGGAGAGCCCAAGTGGGCTGATTGGGACATCCCAAACAGGACCCCAAACAGGGCAGGAAGGGACCCCCAAAATGGGGCCCAAACTCCCCTAGAACTCCTCAGTCATGGATGCTGGGGATCCCAGGGTTAGGGACCCTAACCCTAACCCTCAATCCCCTTCCAGTCCCTCCCAGTCCTTTCAAGTTTCCTTCAGTGCCCTCCCAGTTGCTCCCACTGCCCTCCAGTGCCCTCCCAGTCCCCTCATTCAGGATCTCTGGGGGTCCCGCTGCTCCCCACTTCCCTCCCAGGGCTCCCCAGTCCGTCCCGCTCACAGTGGGTGCCCCGCAGGTCGTGGGCGCTGGGGGCCATCGCGCTGCTGCTGCTGCTGGGGCTCACCTGGGCCTTTGGGCTCCTGTTTGTCACCCGCGAGTCGGTGCTGACGGCGTCGCTGTTCACGGCCTGCAACGCCCTGCAGGGCACCTTCATCTTCCTCTTCCACTGCGCCCTCCAGAAGAAGGTGTGGGGGCTAGGGCACTGGGAGGCACTGGGGGATAGTGGGGCCCCCAGAGATCAGGAATAAAGGGACTGAGAGGACACTGTGTAGGCACCTTCATCTTCCTCTTCCACTGTACCCTCCAGAAAAAAGATCTGGGGGCACTGGGAGAGAGTAGGACAGACTGGGATCCTCACAGAGCATGAATGAGGGGCACTGGGACGGACTGGGAAGAACTGGGAGAGAGTGAGACCTCCAGAGATCATGAACAAGGGGACTGGGAGGGCACTGGGAGGGACTGGGACAGTAATGGGGGGGCTACTGGGTCATTACTGGTGGGGCCCCCAGTTGCATGAGGAGCTCAAGAAGTGTCTGTGCCACTGAGGGCACTGGGAAGTTACTGGTGTGAACTGGTGGGTTCCCCAGGTGCACCGGGAGCTCAGCAAGTGCCTGCGGCACTCGGGGTGTTGCCTCAGGGGCCCCCCAGGGACCTCCCTGGGCGCCCTCAAACCCTCGGCCGCCCGCGCCCACCCCCGGTACTACAGCGGCACCCAGGTGAGGACCCCCAAAAACACCCCAAAAACCTCCCCCTAAACCCCATCCCTGCTACCACAGCGGCATCCACCACAGCCCTCCAAATAACCCCCCCAAACTCAAGCCCAGTACTACAGCAGCACCCAGGTTGGGACCCCCAACCATCCCAAAAAAACCCAAACCCCAAACGCAGGTGGGGATCCTCCCCATGACACCCTCAAATCCCCCCAGATCCACAAATCTCCTCATGACACACTCAGACCATCCCCCAGACCCCCCAAATCTACCTGTGGCACCCCTAGATCCCCTTGTGTTTCCCCAAACCCCCCTGGGACCCAAGAATTCCCTCAGACCTCACCAGGCTGTGGGTGCTGGATGTGGGGACACCTTGGGAGTATTCCAGGGTGTCTGGGGGAGTCCAGGGGGGCTCTGGATTGTTTTTTGGGGGGTTCTGGGGGTCCCAGCCCCACCATTGTGCCCTCAGAGCCGGATCCGGAGGATGTGGAATGACACGGTCCGGAAACAGACAGAGTCAAGTTTTATGGGGGGGGACCTGAACAGCACCCCAACCTTGAACCGAGGTGAGACACACCCCAAAGAACACCTCAAAACCACCCCTACCCTGAACAGAGGTGAGACCTCTCCAAAAAACCCTTGTGGGACCCCAAAGATCCCTCAGGGAGCCCTGGGCCCCCTCAGACCCCCACGTGTGACCCCCTCCCCTCTCCACAGGGTCGCACCTCCTNCCGGTGTCCCCTGTGCCATTCCTTCCCGTGTCACCAGTGTCCCTCCGCTGTCCCCAGCCCCTTCTTTCCCATCCTTAATGTCCCACATCTTGATGTCCCCAAGGTCCACCTGTGCCACCCCCATCCATGCCCCTGCTCCCCATCCCCATCTCAATGTCACCAGGTCCCTAATGTCCCATCTCTTGTGTCTCCAATGTCTCCCCCTCCACTTTCTCGTCCCTGTCCTCAATGTCCCCATGCCATGTCTCCCTATGTCCCCATCCCCTCCTCATCCCAATGTCCTGTGTCCCCCCATCCAAATGTCCCCAATGTCCCATGTCCTCCTCCCAATGTCCCCAATGCCTCAAATGTCTTGTGTCCCCCCTCCCAATGACCCCATGTTTCCCCGTGTCCCATGTCCCCCCCATGTCCCCAGAGCCTGATGCCGACGCCGCCCCTCGGGTTCCACATGCGCATTTATAATAATAATAATTAATAATTAATAATAATTAATGAGGGTGACGGGGGCAGCGCCGCCCACGCCCCCAATGCACTAAAACTGCACCTGCTTGGCCTTGGGGACAACGGGGACACAGCCTGGCCCTGATTGTCACTATGCCACCATGGCCCTGCCACTCGGGGCCACCCCAGGCCATGTCCCCGGTGTCACCCCCCCCAGTGTCACCTCCTGGTGCCACATCCCCGGTGTCACAGCCCCAGGACTGGGCCCTGTGATGTCACGTCCATGACGTGTCCATGTCCCCAGACCATCATTCTGTGTCCTTCAGCTCCGTGTCCCCATCGTCACAGCCTGGAGACATCTCTGTCCTGTGTCCCCGTGTCACATCCTGGTGCCACGTCCTGATGCCATCCCTGTATCCTGTGTCACTTCCCGGTGCCATCCTGATGCCATCCCTGTGTCCTGTGTCACGTCCCGGTGCCATCTCTGTCCTGTGTCCCTGTGTCACATCCTGGTGCCATCCCCGTGTCACATCACAGTGCCATCTCTGTGCCATCCTTCCGTGTCCCCTCGCTGTCCCTTGCTGTCACATCCTCGTGCTGGCTCTCCACACTGTCCCCTGTGCCACGTTCCTGCGCCATCTCCATGTCCCCAAGTGCCATCTCTGTGTCACATCCCCGGTCCTGGTGCCACCTCCATGTCCCCTCAGGGGAGAGTGCCACAGCCCCAGGCCCCGGTGTCACATCCATGTCACATCCCCTAGCCATGTCCACGTCCCTGGGCCATCTCCCCGTTTGTCACCTCCCAGTGTCACCTCCCCGGTGTCACACCCCAGACTGACACAACCTTGGTGCCAATTCCCCGTCCTGTACCCAGCCTGGTCCCCACACGGGACCCTGTGGGAAACTGAGGCACAGCCAGGGGGACACCGAGGTGACAGGGCTGTCCCCTGGCCTTGGGAAGGATGGGACAGTGGGAGGGGACATGCTGGGATGGCAGGGACACACTGGGACACCACAGGGACAAACTGGGGACACTCCAGGCCGGGCCACGGCTGTGGTGGCCGTGGCAGTTCACCATCACGCTGGGTGGCATAAGGGGGTGGCAAAGGTGTCACCACCCCCAGGGTGCGTCACAGGTGTCCCTGTCCTGGGTGTCCCAGCCCAGGGCAGTATATCTGTCCTGGGTGTCCCTGTCCTAGGAGGGTGGCCCTGTCCCAGGGTGTGGCCCAGCTGTCCCCAATGTTCCTGTCCCCGGAGGTGTCCCAGGGCTGTCCCCGGTGTCCCCTGCCGGGCGTGGCGGCGCCGGATGGGCGCTACCTGGTGAAGAAGGGCAGGTGGTGGCCCAAGCCACCCCCTGGGCGTGGGGACTCTGTCCGGGCCATCACGTCCTTGAACCAGGTGGCCACATCCACCTCGAGCGTCTCGTAGCGCTTGATGAAGGTGTGCTCCTGTGGGGACATGGGGACATTGGGGACACCAGGGACAGCAGGGACATGACATGGGGACATTGGGGGATATGCAGACATGGCGACCACAACGGACATGGAGGACATGGAGATGGAGCAGCGAGTGATGAGGGTTTGGGGACAAGGTGAGTATGGGGACCCAGGACATGAACATGGCCTAGGGGACACAGGGACATGGGGACACAGGTGCAGGCAGGTAAGGGAGGTGACAGGGATTGAACAGGTAACAGGTAGGAGAGGTGACAGGAATGATAATAACAGGTGTGCCAAGGACAAGTGTGACAATAACAGGTGACAGGTGGGACAGGTGACAGGTACCACTCACCAGTAACTTGTTGTACTTTGGTCTCTTCCTGTGGTCCTTGGTGAGGCTGGGGGAGGGGACAGGGGATAAGCATCTTGGGACACTCAGGCCATGTCCCCATGTCTCCCCATGTCCCCTGTGTCCCCCACCAGTCCCAGATGAAGGCCTTGGACTCCACAGAGAAGGGGGGCTGGCACCCTGGGGACCCTCTGGGCTGTGTTCCCATGTCCCCCCATTCCTGTGTCATTCACCAGTCACAGACAGAGGCCTGGGAGTCCCTGGAGCATCTTGGGGATCCCCTGGGCTGGGGACCCCCATGTCCCCTGTGTGTCCCTGGCATCCCTATGTCTCCCCCATGTCCCCATGTCACCCACCAGTCGCGGACGAAGGCCTGGAAGTCCCCGGAGAAGCCCATGGCGGGGGGCAGCAGGGGGGGATCCTCCTGCAGCACCTTGGTCAGCACCTCGAAATCCGTCTTGCAGTTCTGGTACGGGAACTGCCCTGTGGCCAGCTCCACCTGCAACAGGTGGGACATGTGTGACAGGTGTGGCACAGACAGGTGTGGCACAGGTGTGACAGCTATGACACAGTTGTGACACAGACACGTGTGACACAGACAGGTGTGACAAAGGTGTGACACAGGTGACAGGGACAGATGACAGAGACAGGTGGTGGACTGTAGGGACAGGTGGCACTGCAGGCTGGGATGGCACTGTGGGGACATGCTGGGAACCCAGAGATAGGTTGGGGCCGGTCTGGGAACACTGGGGAGGCATTGGGGACCTTGGGGCCATCTGGGAACACCTGGGGACACTGGGAGCAGCTGGGGACAATCTGTGGCAAATTTGGGGCTGGCTGGGGCCAGTCTGGGGACTTGGGGACAGTTTGGGGCAGGTTGGGGACAGTCTAGTGACAGTTTGGGGCCAGCTGGTGATCATCTGGGGACACTGGGGTGGGTTTGGGACAGCTTGGGGACAGTTGGTCACAGTCTGGGGACACTGGGGTGGGCCTCGGCTGGCTAGGGCAGTTGGGGAAGGTTGGGACCTGTCTGTTTGGAGCCAGTTTAGGGACACTGGGGGGGTGGGGTTGGT